CAACTGAGCCGCTCATTGTTTATAATTACTAGTAGGAGGCCACATGTTTAGTTTCCCAAATAGCAGAGAAACAGAAACATTCCGTTAAACTGTTGGTAATGTTCCTGTCCTCCTTCTCTTGCCACAGATGGAGGTAAGTTAGCATTGTGTTCTGTACTGTGACTTCACCAGTTGTGAGCTTGTTAATACCTTCTCTCCTCAGCGCTAACATGGATTCATTTCATCTCATCCCAGTTACATCCAGCTGCTCTCAGGCTTCTTGGCCACATAGCTGGCTCTGTTTGTCATACTTTGGTTTATGGGCCATCTCATTTGAAATAAATCACTCCATCTTCATTGCAGTGAATGGCAGTTTGGTGCCTCCATCAGTTATGCATGGGCTGTGGTGATATGTGGCACTTTTTTTTCCCCCCCTGTGTGATCATGTGGTGTTGTGAGGCATGTTCTGCTGACACACTGCCTTGTGAAGTATTTTTTGAAGTCCTGTTTGGAAATTTGAAGGTTAATCTTGGTTATACATGTGCATGCGTGCTTCAGGGTCAGAGTGGGTGGACCCAGAGGACCCAACAGTGATCGCAGAGACCGAGCTGCTCGGAGCAGCGGCGTCCATCGAAGCAGCAGCCAAGAAGCTGGAGCAGCTCAAACCCCGAGCCAAGCCCAAGGTGGATCTCCACACACCTGGAAATGTATTTAAAGCCATGACTGGTTACTCTACCATTATTAGATAGGATATATCTATTTTGCTGCTCATGACACAGCATCTGAGCACTGGATTAGTATAATATCGATACTGTACACCCAAAGTGTAAATGCCGTATTGCAACAGTGACATTTTTGTGCTTTTTATATCTAACCTCTTATTGGGATCAGATGTTTTTGAAATGTGCAGTACACGCTGTGCGTTTACAGTGGTTTTTAATTAAAGCTTTATTGATGTTCTGTGGTTTATATTGAAGTTTCAGTGTGTCGTTGGAAGTAAAATGACACATTGGTTGTGATATGGTTACTGTGACGTTGCGTCTTGTCTCTCCTTGTTTACCTAGTTCCATCAAAAAAAAATTTTGGCCTTGATTTAAGACCAAAATCTTTTAGTTTGAACTTTCCCAGACACATTTTACCCTGTGCACTGGCCATCGATGTCCATCACAGTTTCACCTTTTCATTTTGTCGCTGTGGCTTAATGTTGAGATGAAAACTCAACTTTTACACAATGCAGCTGCCATATCTTCCCCTTCCTCCTCAAATCCTCTGTCCATCTGTTAGTTCTAGCCAAAGTCTGTCCCAGTATATGTCGTCTAGCTCCCAGTTACCCCCGCCTCCACTACTGGAGGCCTCCTCTGCAGGGCTCTGTCTGATATGTTTGATATATTAGGTTGTTATTCAGTCCCAACTGTATATCAAACATATTCCTACAGTGTCCCGCCCTGTCTACAGACTTGTGGTGTGAATGTGTTCGTGCATGAACGTGTGCGTGTTTAACCAGGCCAACATGAGTACAAGTGGATGTGTAAGACTAACACTTGATGTGTGTGCGGTGTCTTGGTTCTCCTTCGGTTGCATCGAGCTCCTTACCTGCTGTGGTTTACCAAGATGCTTTCTTTGCATCTGACTTCTGAGCGTTAGCTTTTGTTTCTCTGTGTCATCGAGTGTCAGTATTCATGAAGGATCAGATACAACGTTTTACATCCTAAACACTTGTTGAAGTGGTGAATCACATTCATTTCCTTTCTATGCAAAAATCTTGACTCAAATCTTATTTCCACTGAGTAATAAAGTTTGAGTTTCCTGGAATGTGGTTACAGTGAAACTGTGACAGTTGACCAGAGTCACATGTAGAAGTAGTCGGAGATGATTTAACTGGGTGTTTGATTTAAACCTTAGTAGGAAATGAAGCCAGTAAATGACCCCTCCCTTCTGGTCCTCTCCCCCTCAGCAGGCAGACGAGACGCTGAACTTTGAGGAGCAGATCCTGGAGGCTGCTAAGTCCATAGCTGCAGCCACCAGCGCTTTGGTCAAATCGGCCTCGGCTGCCCAGAGAGAGCTGGTGGCTCAGGGCAAAGTGGGCTCCATCCCAGCCAACGCTGTGGATGACGGACAGTGGTCCCAGGGCCTCATTTCAGCTGTAAGTATGAAGGTGGCTTTTTACACAAGTTAGTCTGAGGCACACTTTGGCAAACGATGCACTCTCTGATTTTCCTCCGCCAGGCGCGTATGGTAGCCGCCGCGACCAGCAACCTGTGTGAGGCAGCCAACGCCTCGGTGCAGGGCCACGCCAGCGAGGAGAAGCTCATCTCTTCAGCCAAACAGGTGGCGGCCTCCACTGCCCAGCTGCTGGTGGCCTGTAAGGTGAAGGCTGACCAGGACTCAGAGGCCATGAGGAGACTGCAGGTTCGCAGCTTTGCTACTTTTTATCACAGCTTTTTGCTGCGTGGTTTTTTATGATGATAGTAATCGTCGTAAGTATTTTTTTTTATTTTCAGGCTGCTACTGAGCTATCTTTACTTCACTTGGGCATTTCCATTTGATGCTGAGTCATACTTCAGCTTATGATGGTCTTAAAAATATGATGCTACTCCCTGGAGCTGAACATGAGAGGATCACTTACATATTAATGTATCAGTATATATAATTAAATTTTATATCCATGTAATATTTTCCTGCATCATTTTGGTTGATAATACTTGTAAACTGACTGAAGGACTTTTACGTGGACCAAAGTATTTTCCCTTTGTTGTATTCCTTTTTTTACTTGAGTACTTACATCACTGTGCGCTGCCGTTTTCACCTGGTCTCTTCCTCCCTTCAGATTGCTGGGAATGCTGTGAAGAAGGCCTCAGACAACCTGGTGCGGGCCGCTCAGAAGGCCGCGTTTGACAAAGCAGATGATAACAGCGTGGTGGTCAAGACGAAGTTTGTGGGGGGAATAGCACAGGTAATGCCTCTGAGCAGCACCAAGAGATGACAGATCTGACTTCACTTGGATTACTGATTGGGACTGAGTAAAGGTTTCAGACAACTAAAACCCTGATATTCAAGATATAAAAGCATTATAGAAGTCAGCGTTGACCAAAACATACTGATTTATCCAGTAGCTAAAACGTTGAAATGCATTGTCTGTGCAGATTATTGCAGCGCAGGAGGAGATGCTGAGGAAGGAGAGAGAGCTGGAAGAAGCCAGGAAGAAGCTGGCTCAGATCCGGCAGCAGCAGTACAAGTTCCTGCCCAGCGAACTGCGAGAGGACAACAACTAATTATTCAGTCACTGCTGCACAAGCTTAAAACTGCGTGAAGAGCACATATGCTTGTGTACGAGTTAGTGGCACACTTAGTCAGGTATGTGGCCTACAGCGACTTCAGATCTGTTGCGACTGATTGAACAAGCCCCAGTCTGCAGTGAATACTGCTGACCGATCGTCACCACGCAGAAACGTCGCACAGACAGCAAGTTTGTAATACTACTGTGTAGAACTGACTGCTTTCTGACAACGAAGAGTGTGGCGATTTGTCTGAACTGCTTTTTGTCCTCATGTATACCATGAACTGCTTTGACTGATGTGGTCTGAACCAGAATGTGAAGCGCTCGGGACAAACAGTGCGCCTCATACGCTCTCGTGTTTGCTCACAAGCTACAGTCTGTGGTTTTCCAGTTTGCAGCTCTAGTTCATAAACGTTCAAGATGAAGTATTGATTGTATTGCTGTTCATGTTCATATAGCCATTTAACTGCACTGTCACTCAGAGCAACAAGATTTCATCTCAGTACTCTGATATTCTGTGAATGTTAGCCTCCAGTTTGGTACATGACCGTGGTCTCAACTTCAGCTCTGTGCTCTTTAACCCCATGTGAAGGAAGGTGTGAGTTTGCTTGTTGGTGTTTGTTGGACCATATTCTAAATGTCAATAATGCACAGTTCTCTTTTAGGGATCTTCTTTTAAGCCTTGTCATTTTTATGCTGACTGTGACGGGTTCTACATGCAGAATGCCGTGTGCAGCCACTAAGGTTCAAGAAGAATTATGTTACTGTGCGTCTACACAGAAGAAATACTTATTGCTCCTGAGTATTATCACAGAGTCTAATGACTTCTAGGCAACAAAACCTATTCGATATCTTACCAGACCTTCAACATCATTTTTAATTCGTATCATTTCAGGTATTGAAACCAACACATGGTATAAACTGATCATGATGCAATAACGTAGATGGTGCTTTAGGGGGCAGTACTGGTTTCCCTTCTACCATGCAAACTTCAAGTAATAATGCAGGAGATGATGATGTGTAATTGAGTGCTTATTTTACTTCCAGTGCTGAGAAGGTAGTTTGGGTCAGCGAGCAGGTTGATTGGCTGCAACATCATGCAAATTCAGAAAACCTGTAAATGCCTCGGACCTCTTGAATGGACTGAACGCCATGCGGGGTTGCTTCTGTGTATTCTGTGCTTGGTCTGATGGTTTCTACTCCCTTCCCCTGATAACTTTTTGTCCCATTGTTAGAAAGTGAGTAATTTTTTCAGTAACAGTGGATCACTGGATCACACTGAACTAAGTCAGTTCACCTCTGGTTCTGTAAATATGGGAAGCAGCAAAAGGCAGAATCTGATTACTACTTTGCAATAAGCTAAAAAAAAATGTAAGAGTTGAGGTTCAACATAGTGAAGTGACTGCGGCACTAATCACTGCAGCTCATTCTTCTCCTTTATTTGTGTTAGTCTTTGAATGTCAGGGTGCTCTGTGCCACTTTACTGACTATGCTACTTGCTGCAATAGAAGAACCTTGTTTGATTGTAGTGTGGTTGGTTCCCGTGTTTTACTATATGGGCTGTGTTTCACTATTAAACTGCAGTATATTGTAAGATTAGGTCCTGCTGTGAAAATGCATGGCTTTGTGCTTCAGATGCATCTATTGTTTATACAGACTCTTAAAGGCACGCTGAGTGATTCAGACCTCCACATGCAGACAGTGTACTGCAGCAAATGGCTAGAGACAGAATGTCACGTTATAGTTTTTTAAGAGAGTTGGGTCTGAATTCAGAGGGAGGGAGGGGTGGGAGCTCTACTGCTCATCAGTCCAGTCTGTAGTATTATCGTTAGTGCCTTAGTCCTTAGCCCATACAGTGTCTGGTCTGCGTGAGCGACGCCATCGCCTCATCAGTTGGTAGAAGGTACTGGACAAGCAGTTTGTTTGGGAACATAGGTTGATGTCATCCCTCTTGTTAGTGTTTCTCTTCACCATTCAAACAATTACATCTCCTTTATCCTTGTTCTCCTTTTCTCTCTCTGCCTTCCGGAACGACAGGGGAACTGTCTGTCAGTCAGAAAAATGTGTTGCGGTTTAATATGTACCATTAACGTGTATATTAGAGGAGCACATTTTTGTACTGCATTCCACGGGCATATACCACAGTGCTTCTGAACCACGGCAGACTAGAGATTCAGGTCTGCCAACTGCTTTAGTCTATGTTATGAATCACTGAAATTTTATGGATGGGATTTTTCCCTTGTGCTTTTAAGCCTCTATGAAAGATAAATGTGTTGAGAACATTTCGATATATCTGTCACCATGACAATGTCGTGACTCATTTCAATGATGTGAAGTAACTGAAGTGTTCTGTATGTTTTTCTCCCTTAGCTGAAATAAACTTATGACCTTACTATAATAAAGATGTGATAACATACTAAAGGTATTTATCTGGCCTCAATAAAACTTTTTTTTTGTATTCACTGAAAATAAAGTATTTCAATGTTGATTTATTGTTTGGGTTACTTCCTTTGTGGAGCACAGGATGGGCTGTGTGTGCATTTTGCACTGGGTAGGATTTACTTTAGCCTACTCACCTTCTATTTAACAACATTTGTCTTTATTCTTTTTCTAATTTGAGGCCTGCATTAATACTCAAATATGACAATTACTGCATCCAACATCCAGCCTGGACTGAAGAAAGACCGTCTTATGTAATAAGTATTGGTGCTGCCCATACCTCTTGCCATTCTTCACACCTCAAACCACAGAAGTATTTAGAGTTGAATATACCTTTATACTTGATTTATATCCTTCCCTCACAAGGTCAAAGTGTTTATTTGTCATATGCACAGTTAGGAAACGTGTTTCCCTGTACAATGAAATTCTTACTTTGCCGTCCACATGAATGCCACACAATACAAGTGAACTATCAAGTAAATGAACAATAACACAAATCTAAATAGGCAGTAAATCACAAATCTAAAGCACTTTAAAGCAGCAAGTGAAGGAAGCAAATAACAAGAACACAATGTAATGCAGAGAGAATATATGCTACGTGGGAGTCGTGGAGTGTAAATACTCAGCAGTGAGTGTGTAATTATGCATGTGCAAAATGAGTATGTGAACAGTACAGATGGAATTACATGAGGTAGATCTTGAGTCAGCTGTTTAGGAGTCTGATGGCAGAAGGAAAGACAGAGTTTTTCAGTCTAGTGGTCCTGCATTTCACACTTCTGAACCTCCGACCAGAGGGCAGGGGCAATGAAAGTCCGTGCTGGGGGTGGGTGGGGTCCTTGAGGATGGAGGCAGCTTTCCTCTGCACCCTGTGGTGGTAAATGCTCTGCAGAGAGGGCAGTGGAGTCCTGGTGATCTTCTCCACAGTCTTTACCACACTCTGCAGGCGCTCACAAGCTCAAATATCTAACTGAAGTAACCCCCTGCTGAGGTTGTGGGTTCTTAGTGTTCTGCAAGGAGTCTGTATTTTACTATTCAAAACTTACACACTTTGGTCGTTTTACATACTGGTTCCAGTGTGTTTAGATTGACTTCCTCAGACAAATAAAAAACCAGAACTGAGTATCAACACTGTGCAGCTATAGTACCGTACTGCAGGGAACGTGCTTTCACTATTGTGGCACTATTTTTCTCAGCCAGTTGGAATCAGCCCAAACATTTAATCACGGTTTTTATTCCTCATTTATTTTGTCACAGGTCTGTGTCACTGTAGTGTCGGGACAAGATGATATTTCTGAATCGATGCTAAACCTGAAGCTATATTGAGTCCAGGCTATGAACTTAAAGGCGTTCTAAATTTGTCTAGCGATAAATTTGAGGTGGCAGTGTCACTTAGAGCTGCACAGCTGCTCCCAGCTTTTAAACCTGGAATTCCTTTTCTGACATTTTCTCATGAGGTCAGTTTTTAAATTAGTATATATTTAGTGAGATTTAGGTTTTTCCATTTAACAAAAGCAACAAACCTGAACCATATAAAACGGCAGATAACTATTTACATAGCAGAGCACAGAGGAAAAACAAAATGAGGTGGTCAGACACTGAACTGCTAAACAAACGATAGAATACTTTTGGCATTGCAGCATTGTGGACAGCAAAGTAAGAACTGCTAAACAAACGGTAGAATACTTTTGGTATTGCAGCATTGTGGACAGCAAAGTAAGAATTTCATAGTACAGGGAAACACGTCTCCTTACTGTGCACATGACAATAAACACTTTGAGTCTTGAGTGTAACAGCAGCCATCCAATTAGAGAAGAAGTCACAAACTATGCTAATCTGTGATACACAACAAAAACAAAGACTCCATTTTTGGATTTATAAATTCTGCACAACAGTAAATCAGTAAAGCACACATGGCCAGCAAAAGACAGTAGTTTCCTAATGAAATCAAATCTTCACATGTGGCTCTTTAAAACCATAAGATTATTGTTAAAGGGCCCTGTGTCCCCCTGCATCATGGGAATCCTGAGAATAATGAGGGTGGTTTGATTCTCATACCTGTCTCCCTTATGGCTTTGGTGGCAAAACCTCGGCCTCACTAGGAAACATTTTCTCCACTGTCAGAAGGATTTTTTTTAAAGGGCTCGTCATTATCTTGTAGCTCTCATCTGATGTGAGGAGTTTCTCAATGAACAGACTAATGAAATACACGTTTTGTTTAAAAATACTGAGTTCCTCTGGAATACTCAAAAATGAATGACTTAAGAGGCAGAATATGAAGTTTAATGTCTTATTTAGCCAAGAGTGTATGAGACATTGGGTCTTTTAGCACATCTAGTCTGGTCTGGAAATAATTAGGGAAATATGTTTACATTTTAAACCTATAGATTGCAGATTGGTGGGTTTCTTAGCATTAGTGCAAATAGCAATGATTTAAACTGATCCAAAGAATCTTGACAGTGGTCCTTGTTTCAGGAAAAAAACAACAGATGCATCCTGGGCTGGGAAAGAAAAAAATCACATTTTAACTGCAGCTATAATACTACAGAGCCCAGAATCAAATGCAATCTCAGTAGATAGTTAACTGTTGGACAGGGACAGTGTGGCACAGGGTGCTGGGGGGACATGCAATACGCCATGTGCCTATGTGATCTCTGGCTATGACTGGCAGGCCTGGCTGGTTGCTAAACAGTCCACCAAACACAAGGCGCCAGCGCAGTGACAGCTGACTGCTGTATATGTATATTAAAAAATAAACACTACGGGAGGGACCTCAGGCCGGACCACCAGAGAGGCAAAATGTAGGATTAAAAACACAGAAGAAGGAACATTGCTGTTAATGTTAAACATTGATCTGCTGTCAGAACAAATGAAACTGTGAGACTCATTTGTTGGATTCTTCATCAGGTGTTCAAACCAAGAAGCATTTACACTCATTCACACATCAGAGTTAGCTTTTTGTGTAGTTAACGCAGACTTAAAAAATGAAGTAAAACTGATGTTTTTGGTATGATTATTTGGGCTTCTTGTTGTTTTTTCCCTTTCCCTTTTTTTTGTTTCCCCTCCAGTTGCTTTCCTCTGCTCTGAAAGAAAGCGAATGCCTCTCACCAAAAAGCCAGGCTTGGTGAGGGGGGAGTGGCTCTGGGTGCCATGGACAGAGTCCAGCAGGTGCTCACCAGCAGTAAGATCCCAAAAATATGCACTCAACAAAACACAAGTTGAATGGTAGGAACAAAGGAAGAGGGGGGTTACTAAAATCCAAAGGCTCCTTAGTGAATGACAAACTCCTGTCAGCACAGGTAATTATACCAGATTGTACTGTTTATACTGGACTACAGATCGGTGGTGCAGCCTAGCTAACCTGTTATTTCACTAGATCTTTTTTCACCCATTAACTTATATTTCATTCTTCTTCTCCTCGAGGTCCACTTTCCTTAACATATACAACAATGAGTTCCACCAGTCCCGACCACACATTGTGCGACAGCTGCGGCTGTGTCAGGCCCTGTGAACTATCACAGAGGCACACTGAGGGAGCTCTTGAAATGCCAGGGCTTCTGTCTCATCCACTGTGCACAGCATTATATCCACTGCAGCCCATTTGAGAGCCAATGCTCAGGCATGTATTAGCTGAGACTGGAGCTGGACAAGCTTGGTGATATAGCTCCACAGAGAGCAAGGCTGGTCTGATGGTTGTGTGGATGTTGAACTATGTTGGGGGGAGCTGCTGAAATGATCCCTAGAAGACAAACAAGCCATACTGGCTAATGTGACACCGCACAGAGGGAGACGATGTTCACAGGGGCTTATCCAACCAGATATGTTTATTCTGTACAAATAGCTGGAAGCATTTGGAATAACTACATGTATAGAAGTATAAAATAATTGTAAGGTGATGGTCTTATTTGCCGTTTGCTCACATGGAGTCTGGGTTATCTTCTTGATTGATAATTAGATTATTACTATCAGCATGCTTCTTCTAAATAACCCCCTCTTGAGCCTTTCCACTTTACTTCCTGCCTGTCACTTGGAAGGTGTTAGAAATAGGAGTGGACGTCTTGGTGTGAGGGAGGACTGACCTCCTGACGTACACATCCCATATATAGTAAAAGAAGTAGTCAAATGTCTTGGAAGAGCAAATCAGTAAAGACATTCAGACAAAAAGTCAGCTCCTGAAGCAGCTGCAGTAGTTTCCAAAACGTACTGGGTGTCCAGTCACTGGCCAGCGAAATATTTCCTGACTACAGCCGGGGCGAGCTCGCAGTCCAGCTTCTGTGTGGTTCAGACGCTCCCATCCTTTCAATCAGTACCTTTTATTTTTCTTTTGCGCGGACAGCGCTTATACTTAGCAGCAATGGATGCCATCAAAAAGAAGATGCAGATGCTCAAGCTCGACAAGGAGAACGCCTTGGACAGAGCTGAGCAGGCCGAGTCCGACAAGAAGGCAGCTGAGAATAGGAGCAAACAGGTCGGAATCCACTAGGAAAAATGGCTCTGGTACTTTTACGCAGCGGTGCCAATGGCACGGTGCGCATGGCGGTGGTTCCTGCTGTCCTGTCACTGCGTATTAATGTCTTCATAGTATTAAAATTAATTAAACGTATAATCCCTTTTTATTTTTGCATCCTCCACTTCGTGTTTGGACTGCGCGAAGCTGGTAAAAATAAGAAACATTTGATATGTATTACTTTTGCCTGCTATTTGTCGATTTAAAAAAAAGATGTAGCTATTGTCTAATAATAAGCCTAAGCCTGTCTAATAAAGTGTGGCCTACTTGCTGTTGAGATTTAGTGAAGTAACGATGTTTTCCACGTGTGATTAAATCTTTTCTCGTTTTCGTCTCAGCTTGAGGATGACCTGGTGGCACTGCAGAAGAAGCTGAAGGCAACTGAGGATGAGTTGGACAAGTACTCTGAAGCCCTGAAGGATGCCCAGGAGAAACTGGAGCTCGCTGAGAAGAAAGCCACAGATGTGAGTTCTGGGCTGACAGCACCACACACTGCTGGAGAAGCCCCATGGGGGCAGCCATTATCTATGGGTTTGACCTTGAACCACGCCTCTCAGGAAAATAGATCAGCAGCCCAGACTTACATTACTGATTAAGCAATGCATGGTAAGGTGGCTTACCAATGCATTCCACATCCATTTGGACGAATCTGAGGACCAGTGTAAGGTTGCATTTCAGCATTTCAGAAGCGAATTTTGATTTGTAAAATGCTTGACAGATTTGTGATCATACTGGTTTCAACTGGCACCAAACCTCAGCGAAATAACTAACGCCTGAATGATGCCAACGTCACAATCAGAAACATTGAAATCAACACTAACACAACAACAGCGTTATGATGGATTCGAATGACTGGTTGATTTGTTGGTGACTGACTGACAGGAAACTCCAGAGGTACAAAAGCAGATGCATACCACAGATAAGAAATGTAGCAATCTACTCCTGTACACCATGAAACTCTGTTTTCATGATACACAAGAAGTGACCTGCTGAGTCACACAAAATCAGTCATATTGCAACGAATAATGAAATAGACACGTACAAAAATACGGTTGAGCAATGCAATAATACTACTAATAATGATGTGTGTTGTACTCATCAATTAGACATTTGATTATGTGTAGCCTACACAGTAGTGGTAGGTAGGCTTGTCATAGCCCGTGACTTTGATCGGGTTAGTTCAATTTACCAGTGGGGATGTTTTCAAGACAGATAATAAATTACGTACTTGTACAAGTGAGAGAAAGTGGGGAAAAGAAGACAAACTATTAATATGAAAGAACAGTTAAAATCACATTTCCTGGGCTTTGGTTCCTTTGATAAACGGAATTATTTGCGTGTGAACGTCGTTACTTCCGGGGCCGGTGGCACGTCCCAATCCTCATCAGGGCTTGATTAAAGGCGGTGGGGGCAGGGATCAGGCGCGCCGCATCTCGAAGTGCGTGTTTCTCCGTGGAGGCAGCTTCGCACACAGCTGACAGAAAACTAGCTTGGCTGACAGAAACACATAGCAAACAATGGCTGGCGGGAGCTCTGTGGAAGCTGTGAAGAAGAAAATCAAGTCTCTGCAGGAGCAGGCCGATGCGGCGGAGGAGCGGGCGTCATCTCTACAGCGGGAACTGAACCAGGAGAGGAGGGCGAGGGAGGCGGTAAGACGCCGCTAACGATTTAAGACAATTAGTCCCCAGGCTGTAGACGGCATTAGGCGTAAATCTGGTCAAAAGGCGTGGCAGCTAGGCCCACACAGCCACGGTCTATGATAGAGTCAGGCACCAGGTCGATGTTTGAAAGTGTCTACTGAAGGATGCGTAAAGGGATGGGTGGATGAAAGGACGCCACCCGGTGCTTCCCGAACACACACCCCGCCCTGTGACAAGTAGGCTAACGTTACGGGAGACTGAGGTGAAACCTGTGCAGGCCACTGGCCTGTTGGAGTACAGCGTATTGTTTCCTCTCCAAAATACCAAAGTCCAGCCACGTTTCGTAGCCAATTGTTTTATGGGGCAGGATAATTAAATCAGTGTGAGACAGGAAATTGCGTGTAATGAATGGTGGGTGCATTGTCCAAGTTAGCATTTTCTGCTAACGTGTTAGGTTTAAGGTATGTGCTAAACGAAGGGGGACCCATCCAGGCGTCAGCCTGTGCATGACATGTGCACACCGAACCCAGCCTATGCTGGCCTGGGAGAGTCTGGGATGGGCTGGGGACGTTGTAAGCCTGCAAAGCCAACTGACAGACTGTCCATGATTGCAGGCTGTATAAATCATCCTGATGTGCCTGATTGTGGTGTTTGCTCTCATAGGCTGAGGGTGATGTAGCTTCCCTGAACAGACGGATCCAGCTGGTTGAGGAGGAGTTGGACCGTGCCCAGGAGCGTCTGGCCACAGCTCTGTCCAAGCTGGAGGAGGCGGAGAAGGCTGCTGATGAGAGTGAGAGGTGGGCACCTTCCTCCTGGAAACATAGGCCATTCTTGTAGTCCTTGGTATTTTACAGCAAAATTTTAATTGTGTTTTGTGCTTAGTTTTTAGATTTGTCCTCATATTCATTACAGTGAAATCTGCTCTTTATGAGAGAGCGAGCGATGTTGGGACAGGATGCTGGGATTTTGTCCTGAATCACTCCACTGTGCGTCAGTGTGGGTCTCACACTCCTGCAAATGTTTTAGAAAACTGTGGTCTTTCTGGAAAGGAATAAGCTAACGAGACAAATAGGAAAGCACATTTTATCAAGGCTAAATAACAGAATACCAAAAATTAAGGATTGCATATGCATTGTTGAAGCCACCTGTGGCTGGAGGTTGTACTGCGCTACTGTTGAAAAAGCAGCTCAACAGGACACATTTACACATTTTAGATAACGTGACTGAATTATTAACTTTTGTGATGGTGTGATTGTCTGTGTCCAGATGGCTTCATTGGTGATGCAACCAAGCTCTGAGCTCTGGTGAAAGTGGCGCATCTGTACTATTTTGATGGAAACTTCAATTTTACCTTTTAGGGGATACTGCAGTCATACTCCTTGTCAAGAGTGATGTTGTTCTTGGTGTAAGGTCCATGTGAAACACCCGTACATTCATGTAGAGGCCTCTGTAATGTGTTCATCTTCACCAGTATGGGACATCACAGGGAATCCTGTGGAAAGTTTATTTACTGAGACTGAGAACTGTCTCTGTGTGCCACTGCTAAATGCACTGGCCTTTAGTTCTGCTTATGGTGCCCATGACTTAACCCACCATACTACTTCCATTCCCTCAGAGGCATGAAGGTCATTGAGAACAGGGCGATGAAGGATGAGGAGAAGATGGAGCTGCAGGAGATCCAGCTGAAGGAGGCCAAACACATCGCTGAGGAGGCTGACCGCAAATACGAGGAGGCAAGTTCTGCAGCTCAACTGAACTTTGAGCTCAGTGTTTTCTACATGTTTGACATCAGCAGCTGTTTCCCGTCACTGCCCCTAAGCAATAATGATTATAATTTCAGTGCAGACATCAGGGAATTTAATTCTGCCTTTGTATTGACTTAGCAAATGAGTGTGAGGCCTAACTTTGTATGTTGTGACCTCAGGTGGCTCGTAAGCTGGTGATCATTGAGAGTGACTTGGAACGTACGGAGGAACGAGCCGAGCTGTCTGAGAGGTAGCAGTTTCCTTCCTTTCCACTTCTCCAAATCACAACTTTGTCTTTTTTTTTTTTTTTTTTTTTGGCTTTTCACAATTCTCTATCTTCCTGCTTGTTCGACCAAACTGCAAACCAATAGCAAATGCTCTGAGCTGGAGGAGGAGCTGAAAACTGTGCAGAACAACCTGAAGTCCCTGGAGGCCCAGGCAGAGAAGGTAAGATGGCTGACGGAGAAGATTCATGGCAAATGATCCACAGTAGAAAGCCTTGAAGTCTGTCTGAAACGGTGTCAACGTTGTGGTGCGGTTTGACCAACACCAGCCTTTGTGTGTAACTCCAGTACTCACAGAAGGAGGACAAGTACGAGGAGGAGATCAAGGTTCTGACAGACAAGCTGAAGGAGGTGAGTTAACTGGAAAGTTGCCAGTATTTAAGAAGTAGTCCATCCATCTTTGTGTTGCAAGTCATAAACATGCTGACTGTATCTGTGATACTCACTTTTACTGCACATAGGTACTGTATGTGTCCTGTATATAGGGCTGTGGTTAGTAATGTAAACCTCTTAATGGGACTTGCTAATGTCCGACTGTTTCCTCCACTCAGGCCGAAACCCGTGCTGAGTTTGCTGAGAGATCAGTCGCCAAGCTTGAGAAGACCATCGACGACCTGGAGGGTATGAAACATTTCCACTTGAGTTTTAAACCCTGGCAGTTTATATTTTACATAAAATGTAGGTAACGGAATACGTGTTACTGGATCTACGCAGTCGACACAACGAGCTAACCTTGTTTTTAGGGGTCATCTAACATCATAAAAGGACACAGGTTTTCTCTCCATAAGGGTGAGTGTGAGCTCGGTCAGCAGGTTGTTAAATAGTTGGTCAGCTGTCTGCTGGGGGAGAAACAAAGCACTGATCCACAGAGGCCAGTGAGATATGTTGGCAACAGCCAACCTCACCTTGGTGTGTTTGGCATTCTGGCTCGTCATAACTGTAGGCCGGCTCGTCTCGAGCAGCCTTCAATCACCGAACATTTGACATCGTTTCTCAGTGACTCCTCAGGAATGTGACACACCAGCAGCTGTTCAGGCTTCCTTCCTATTTCTGTCCTGCTTTTATTTCCAGTTTCTCCATTTCTGTTTTCTGTCTGTTTTGTCTTATTTTATTGCGAATCTTTCACTGCCACTTTTCTTAAATTGCAACACAATAGATGAGCTGTACGCCCAGAAACTGAAGTACAAGGCCATCAGTGAGGAGCTGGACCACGCCCTCAATGACATGACGTCCATGTAATTCACCAGCAGCTTGTTCCTGCTCGACACTACTAGCCGTTCTAACACCACACAGTAGCTCCCTCTTGTGGCTTGTTTGGGTGCAGTGATTTAGGTCCTGCACTGCTTGACTAACACTGATTTGTGTGTGAACTGGAGATGTTTTGTAGGCATTTGTGATGAAGTTCTTTGACTAGATTTTCCCGTTTTCTTGCAACACAGCCAGATTTCATCATTAGTTCTCTTTAGCTTTTATACCTTAGCTCTGCATCCTTTTTTCCTCCTTTGGTCCTGCATGTCATTTATCTTTCTTTCCACCTTTTATTTCTCCCTCCAACACTTTTGTTCTTCTGTTTTTCACAGCTAAAGTTCTACACCCTTCACTCCAGAGGCTGGTTGAGCATCTTCCTCTTTTTCCTGTGCAGTGCAGCCCAACTGTTTCTTTCCTGCCCTGCCCCTACTGCACACTGGGCTGCTGCTGCCTTCATCCATCTCTCACACAGATCTTTGAGCCATACTGTAAAATAAACATTCTTCCATTGGTGTCAGCTCTTCCTATTTTCCCCTGCGATGTCTCTTCATTTCCAGTTGTCTCGTCTTGTTTTGATTTGTCCTCTTTGTGTTAATTTTTGTTGAGTAGCTTCTGAATAAGCTCTGAAGCGCCTCTTCCATTCATTGCTCCATTTTTTTGTGTCACAGGATTGTCCTGTGGTGTAATGGCAGTATCAGGGGTGTTGATGCTATTTAATTTTAACAATCTAACGACTGTTTTCCTATGAATGAAAGGTTACCTGCTGTGGTAGTCGGCTGATTCCCTCATTTGTGCTGCTGTTTCTGAGGGTCATTGTGTCTCTAGTGTTTTGCTTTTACTGACTCGAACGTCATAAGAGTGGTGATTTATGTTCAAAGCATGAATTTCAGCCATAGTTGATTTGGCGATACCTGTGTGTTGTGACACGATGTCGGATGCATGAGAAAGGTAACTGGTGTCTGTTTACAGTACAGACTGTAGGCACTGTACGCAGGTTTCTAGTGTGATAATCATAGCTTCAGTCCCTGCACCAAAACCTGTTTGTTTCCAGGATTTCCTCAGTCTCTGGGAAGAGACGTAAGCCGTTTTCACACATGAATTCTGTACGGTCTCTGTGGAATTGGGTCCTGACTTTGTCCAGAGCTGCTCTTTCACACATCTAGCACACAACAGGAGGTAGTCCATGTCAGACACCTACTGGAAACACTCCTTTTGGTCCATGAGCGTGGGACGCCCCTGGGTAGAGCATGCAGGAGGTGGGACATGATGTGGTCACGTAGCCAGTTTGTAATTTGGTCATAAACAACCGTGTCTTACCTTCTCTGACGGTTCTGGCACCGGCTTATAATGACAGAAGTTCCTCAATATCCTCGTGTCTCCAGGTAGATATTTTAATTGCCTTCTTCATTGTAAATGACAGTCTTCCTTCACCCAGTCGATGTTTGTATTCATCTTCTGGTTTTGCACCAGTCACATGATGGAACATCATCAACAATCCCACTAGCTCCGTGTGAACACTCCAGACTATTAGCTGCTGTATTCTCACCTGGACTCACTTAGACCTTAGGCAGACTTTTTGCACTGGGGATCTGGCAGAATAAGGTCTGGGTCAGCTGACTCAGACATTTGCCTTCTCACATACAGCTCCCTGGGTAAAGTCTAGAGATTTTCATGGTTCCAGTGCATGTCTGAAAAGGGCTATATCAATCTGTGGGTAACTAGGGCGACAGCTTAGTGGCAACTTTGGAATCTGAATAACAGTTGTTGCTTTAACGTGATCTCTGAGCCTGGCTGTTCAATAGCTTGAACACAGACTGACACTTGTTTTCTTTGTCTTCTGTACTAACCTGCATTCTGTCTCTTTGCCTTTTCTCCTACCTGCTGTCTGACTGTCCAGACCATCTATACAAGCAGCTCGAGAAAAACCGCCTTCTGACCAATGAACTGAGAGTAGCCTTAAATGAGGCGTAACTGCAGTGGGCCCTCGTGTTCTTTTTCTGAAACTCAAGTGTCCAGGCACATTACACAACTATGTCAACACAATGTTTAAACCAAACAAATGGATTATTTTCACATTATGCATGCTTACACAGCAGTTTCAGATGGGAGGTCGGGCAATGAAGTTATGGAAGGGATTCAATACTTTCTCAGTTATTGCCAGGGCTGTAGCGCACGAAACTCTGCATGATGCCGTTATTGGTGGGGTCAAGGTTGGTAGTGGTCTTCAGGTCCACAGCTGGGAAAGACTTAAAATGCAGCAGAGGGTCTAGCGCTCCTTCAACATCCCCGATTCCACCTCCAGAAAGGAGACGTCGGTTTTTTCAAATCCAAAATAATCAGCTATTAACTGATTAGTCATAAGATGTCTGGCTGTATTGAGAACCACACTACCCTTTATTTTAGCTTTAGTGTAAATTTGACTTGCTCTTTTTGCAGTTGGAGTGAGTTCATTTTAATCTGAACTGTAGCATTTAACCAGGATACTCATGCCTGTGTTTGACCATGTTTTTGCACTGACACGTTTGTTTTGAGTGGTTCTGAGCCCTGTGACACTCCAGAGCAAATCTGAGTCGCATGATAACTGAAAGAGCAAGAATTCAGTAATGCACACGGTGGAAGTAGCAGCAGGGATGCAGTGCTGACCATACAGCAATAAGGCAAGCTAAATTTGCCTACATTGACCATCAAGTTGTGATTTTGGTCTGAACTACTGCGAAGCTTCATTTCCTTAAACCTTTCACTTACTGCAGCATTTGTCAGAAATTAAATGGGGGCGCATGTCATGTAACGATAAAAGTAACACTTATGTTGTAGCAGCTTTAATAAAATGATTGCTTTACCATAGAACAAATGGTGTGCCACTAGAAGACCGTCAAGATTACAGTATATTACAGGTAGTGGAGGGTTTTTGGTTGAGGCTGTGGATATGGGGTCAAATCGGTGCTCAAAGTTGGTTTTGAGTTTATATTTTTATCGAATGATCTGGAAACTGCTCAGAAGGCGGTATCTAGATTAATCGCCAAAGCCACAAACTAGCTAAAAATGTCTCCTCCTACCCCCAAGCTCATGCAGTGGTGACTACAGCCCGGTCTATAGCTCAAATACAGTAACAGCTGCTTTAAAGATTACATATCAAAATGGAACTTGAGCTTGTGTGACTGGCTCATTGTATAAGAGCTAAGGATATTATGTGCTTCATAGTGCTAACATCGGTTAGTGGGAAACATTTTTCTACACATAAAATATCCAGCACATCTGACATTAACCTGTATGAGAGCTTGGTCTGTTTATATCCTGTGCATCTTTGCATTGTTTTTATGGTTTTTAACTGATGCAATGCTGTATTAACAGATAAACTCAAACGTGCTGAAGAAGAGGGCCTGAGAATAAAGCAGATACTGGATCATACTCTAATGGAGATGGTTAACTTATGACCCAGCTCAGTTCCTCTGCCCACATTGTTTCATCTGCTCCCATACATGGCTGCTACAAATATAGGGAGCTGTGCTTATGTCTCCTGTGACTTTGTCATCCTGAAGAAATGTGCTCTATACAAGGCAGTGTGCACAGCTTTGGTGAGCTGCAGTTAAACTACACTGTCTGTTATGTACTGTAATCGAAGGTCAGTTCAATTTCACTGTACATCTGCATTAGGTTTACATGTATATGTTGAGACAATTTGCACTTTGTGACACTGAACATACTTGTGAACAAAGCCACAAGTTAAGCCAAGGCTATGTGAAAAAGGACTTTTTATTATGTGTACTTTTGTCAAGTTGCTTGTCTGTTTGTGTTGTGTTAATCAGTATCAGAGATGCACTTCCAGTTGAGCGAGGAAGCTGCTTGAATGTATAGTTTTGTTCCAGCTACGTGAAAGAAATGTCTGTGCACTGTACTCACTTTTGTTTCTCGTTTTGTCTCCCATTTTTATCTCTGATAAAATCACGAATAAATGTATGAACAAAGTATAAGATCATCCAGGTCTGTCATTATTACATTTCTTATTTCAATGTCATGAAGAAAGAGCAGCATTAAGTTCTCTTTACTGTCACTTTATTTATGCACTGCAAAATGGTACATTAAACCTTAACAGCAGTAGTGCTGCTTATATTTGGACAAAACTGTGTTCTTGGGTACCTCCCAGTTTGTCACAGTCTACCACCAGTGGAGTGCCCTGGAAGCACAAACCTGTAAGGTCTTCAGATAAATGATGGTGGTACACCACTTTTTTTTTTGGTCATGTATAAAAGGATATGATACTATGTCTGATTTCTGGACATTAGTGGTTGACTTGGCTGTAATGAGACAGTTGAGCACTGGGGGGGGAAGGGGGACAGTAAAAAAAAAAAAAATAATAATTTGCTGTGCCTATCACAATATTAAAATTGTAGCAAATTTATGCACAAGCACCCGGTATATTTTATTTAGTGTTTGGCAAAACGGTAATTTACAACGTTCAATACAAATAAAACATTCCATACACAATAGTCTTTGGTTTTTAAATTATTTTTATACAAAATGTAATCTAGTGCTATATCCGCACACAAGCTACCGGTCATGACATGCTCAATTTTGGTTGAATAATATATCGGCTCTTTAAAAATAGCCGGTCTTGTCCGGAGTCCCCATCACAGAGGCACCGAAGTTAAACTGCCACGGCACCTCCTCGCCGCAGGGGGCGGTGTGGCGCCTTGGCGACGGCGGAAGAGCAGAGGTTAAAGTTCGCAGCTGGGCATCTACATTCGAAGCCTTTCACAACTCGAAAAGGGAATATGGGTGAAAATGAAGATTTCACCAATTCGTTACAGGACAGTAAGGCTGCATATGTCCTCAGCAATGTTGCCGAGGTGGTTGAACGAATTCTGATGTTCGTACCAACCAAATCGCTTCTCCGTATCGCAAGGTAACGCAAAATGTTTGTATGCTATTCCTAGCTTAGCTAACATTGATGGCTGTCGAATGGAAGTGAAAGTGTAATTTCAGGGACGTGCAGCACAGCTTAAAAATTAGACTCATGATTGTGAGTCACCGTAGCTGGTGTGTAAGTGATTTCGGGTGTCTGGCACGGTTTATTGACAGACACGTGTTGACGAGCAAACTCCCAGGTGAAGCTGAATGTGTTTCTGGTTCTCAGTGTGTGCAGGCTGTGGAGAAACTGTTCCCGCAGAGTGCTGAGGACTCAGCAGCAGCTGACGTGGGTGTCAGCCAGTGAACCGTCCAACACGGAGGTCCATGCCCTCTGCAGCGTCCTGGCCGAGGAGGTGGAGGTAAACTGAGAGCAATTTGTTTCACAGCCAAGTAAAAACAAACAAACAAAAAAACGCTTACAATCACAAGACACAACTATTCAGGCAAATGCAGAGACCCCCAGATAAGACACAGTCATCCAGTTACGTAGTAACCATAGCTCCATTAGTACACAGCTGACTGACAGCTAGTTATTGTCATCACCACTAGAATTTAATAGAGCGAAACCACAGAAAAGAAAACAATTTTTCACTTTCTTGGTTTTTGCTCTTGATACTCAAATCCTCCTTTTCGAGGGGAGAAGCTTAAATTCTCTATGCTGATGATGGGAAGGATTTTCCAGTTTGACCTGATCCTTTGAATCGTTATGCTTTAGAAGATGTGTTGCAAATCCTGCAATTTAATGCCAGTGATCTTAATGGCCACTCTCACTATGTATTGAAATTTGTTCTTGCCTCTATAGAGAGATTTCCAAACAAGGCCATAATGGAGAACGTTAAAACAGACCCGATCACACATCCCAGACCATTTTACCTCCCTTTTCTTTTTACAAATTACTGTGGTGTTTTCACTAAAGGTTAGTTCGCTCAGTAAGGGTACCTAAATATCAGTAACCCCATTAGCATCAAAATATACTTAGAATGGCACATTTCACATGAGTGTAGATTTTATTGGATTTTAATCGATGCATTATTGTGTTCATCACTTTAATGGTACAGCTGGTAAAAGTGGAGCTAATGTTACCTTATATACTTATCAGTAAAGTCTTGTGATTATACTATATTTTTCATTCATCTGATTTTGAAAAGGGAATAAGTTGTTAAATACATGTATGCAATAAGAAGTGCAGTATCTGCCTCTGAAATGTAAGTATGAAGTAGCAGAAAATGAAAATATCAAAGTACAAATACCTCACAAATGTACTTGAGTACTGTTCTTGAGTGGTTACTTTCCACCTACAGTAAATCAGTTTATCTCATAACAGTTTAACATGTTTTGAGAATTGTTCTTTTCAGACATGATGATGATAGGTGTCAACAAAGATGTGATGCACTCTGGGGCCTCTGTGTTATAGATATGTTCTGAATCCCCTTAACAAGTGTTTTAGAACAGTGTAAATGTGTGCCCTTTGCTTTTTGTTATTTACAGAACGTATTCCTACTGCCTAAAACTGTTGTGGTAATGGTTGACTGCGAGGCCTTCCATGGACAAGCTTATCAATACAGACAGAGTAAAGGTTGGTGTTAAACAGTGTAATTAGCATCCATACCAAGAAGTCTACCTGCTTCAATTATTTTGTTTAAAAGTACAGAGTGATAGCATTTACAAGCTGGGCTCACGTTGGCTTTTTGAGAGCAATACTATGTGCCTTGGATTTCCAACCAAACCTGATTTAGACAAGTGTCAACACAGCATGCGTTCAGGCACAGTGAGGGCAGGTAGCCTGTGTTCTGGCAGTGCTCAGACCCCAACACATAATCACAATAGTTACCCATGTAAAAACAGAAGAAAGCAGACATTTAGACAGGGACATTCATTGATTCACTTGAAAAACTAGTGAGTAAATGGTTAAAGGGCTTCAAAGCTGCAGTACCAGCGAACACTGCTACAGTGCTGGGTCATATTACCATGCTGGCTGGTTAGCAGGAACTTTTAGCCTCACACGTCTGTTCAGCTTGTGGCCCAAGTTCCTCAGTGTCAGCACGGTTTTAGTCATGCGTGTTGTCTTGTTCTGCAGTTATTGTTAATGACCACCTGCATTTTTACCACAAGTGGCACATTTGACAGTATTGTGGCATTTATAGCCATGTACATACTTCACTAAAATCAGCCAGGTTGTGTTGGAGTTGTCATTCAAAGCCAGTTTGCTGTTAGTTTAGTGGTGGTATGCTTACCTGCAGTTTAAAGCATATAAAACAGTGACTAACATGTTTTTCTCAACTGCTCTGAAGCCAAAAAGAGTCGCCACAGTCCAGACACAGTTGAAGAACTGAACCTGCTCTTCCCCAAAGGCTGCGACGTCGTGGGCATTGCTACACCAGGCATAGTCTGTAAGTTTTCCTCTTGAATCCACAACTCACCACAAATAAAATCATGGGTAGCCGTGTACAGGGAATCATTTGCTTCAAAGCAATGACAGTGCAAGTTTGTGTGTGGCCTTTAGTATGTTCATCTAATAAGATGTTGCAGAGAAAATGAAAGTTAAGCACGTGTCTTGAGTATACGAGAGCAGTAGTTCACCTGTCAGCAGTGATGGCAACGCATTAATCCAGTACATTGGTGATTCCAATACATTGAGCTGCAGTCTCTCTAATGACCACTAGATGCTGGCTCCTAGAAATGGGCTCTGCCAGAATCAAGTGCTTGAAATGCAAAGTCAGAAAGGGTTTTCAAACTGGACGTTAAGGTCTCAGTAATTAATTTAACTTTTTACTTGTCTTGTCATTTATGAGTTAAAAAGACTTTAAAAGAAATCAGATTTGGGGCCTTGTTTCCTTGCTTACAGTTGTCACTCAGCAGCAGTGGCTTCATATGGTGTGTGCACTGTGAGTTCTGTCTAGTTTTTTTTTTCTTCTGTTTCTTCCAAAACTGAATTTCCGGGTTCCAAAGTGAGGGTGAGTGGTAAAGTCAAAACGCCTTTTCAGGAACCACAGTCTCCTAAAACTAATCCTGCAAGAAACAGCACTTGGATTAAGGTTCTTTACAGTGATCAGTGCAAAGAAATCACCCTGCATATTCCCCTTGTCTAGTAGGCTGCAGGCGTCCACACATCATTTCAGACACCGAATCAACTTGCTATCAAACAGCTCATGAAATCAGGGTTATTGCAGTCTCGGTATAATAAAGTTAGTGTGTGTGTGAGTGGTGGTTTGTGGTCATGCAGTTGCTTCCATGACACAGGACATAAGTAAGTGACGTTACTCTACGATGCCTCACTGTGTCTGCAGTGACTCCCAGCGGCTCGTGCTCCAGCCCTCCTCAGGAGTACCAAGAAGGGGAGGCTGGTTTTGCAATCATGTTCCCCAAAATGGAGGGTGTCCACATGAAGCCCTTTCATTTTTGCAAGAAGTCCATCTCCCCAACAGCCTTGAAAGAAGCAGGTGAGAGTAGGCAATTGTCTAGCCATCTAAAGTGAGAAAAGTGAAGCTTGTGAAGTTGTCCAGAACTTGTTTTTGTACCAGTCCTGTATTTGATGTTCTTTCTCCTCAGGACTAGTTGACAACCCAGAACTGAAAGTGGTACTAATGTTTGTCTATGAGGCATATAACCGTGGAGGAGACCGCTTCCTCAACCAGATACTGGAGCCGCTAGCTAAAGGCAAAGCTCTGATTTCTGGAGGACTGGTGGAAAGTGCCTTCTCTCCTCCCAGACACTGGTGAGTTAGTGTTCTGCAGTAATATCAAGACTGTTTTGGGATGACTAATGATGGTATTAATACAAAAATGTAACAAGTACCAGTGATTTTTCTGGGGCGTCGGTTGTCAGAATATTTTTAGGTTTTCTCAAACATGTCTGGCACTGTTTCTATGAAACAGTAGTTCAGTCTGTCATGGAAAAATAGATCTAGTCTATAACCTCACCTTACTTTTAAGGTTGATGTCTGTTTTTTGTCACTCAGGCCTTTTGTCTCACTGCCAGTTGCTTCTAATTGAATGTGATAAACACCAGCTGTGTAGAGCTCAGTTATCAACACAGTTTTATAGTGCACTCTTTGCTGTGTTCACACTTTCCCTCTCCCATCATCTGTCACTCTGTAGCTGTAGCCAGGGTGCGTACGGCGTGGTGGGCCTGACCCTCAGTGGCCCTAAGGTGCAGGGGGCATCTGTGCTCTTGGACCAAGACATCAGCAACCCAAAGGCGGCTGAAGCTACAGTCCGGCGCTTGAAGGCAGCCAAAATTCCAGAGAGGAACACCCTGGGGTTCATGTTTGCCTGTGTGGGGAGAGGCCAGAACTACTACAACAACCAGACCAATGTAGAGGCCGACGCCTTTCACAAGGTGTTCCCCAACACCCCGCTCTTCGGCCTGTTTGGCAACGGAGAGATCGGCTGCGACAGAATCGTTAAAGATGACTACACACTATGTGACACTGACTCGGACACTCTGCAGCATGAGTACACCACAGTCATGACCCTGGTCCATCTAGGCTGACTGGTTGATCTGCAGTAACAACAGACACGCGGGAAAACAGATGAGCCATCACACTCCTGTTTGCTATAGTTGTAGTAATAGTAGTAGTAGTTGGGAACAAAAACATTCTATACAAAGTGTTACTCACATTCTGAGCATTACTGCCGCTGTTTCTGCTCATAAAGCAGGGAATGACCCCTTTAGCCATCCATGCAATGGCAGCATCAGCTTCATATTAAAACTAGTGGGTTTCACAAATAGGACCTTCTAAAGACAAACCAATCATCTGTTAATATTAAAATGTGTAATACGTTTGTCAAATATCTGAAGTTTTATTCCCCCCAGACTTTACACACATTCCATGCAGATCTTGCCTTCTGACCTGGACTTTGCAGCCTGTTGGCAGCTGGGTACATTGTGCACACTTGTATGTGCCCCACACTGTCATTAGTTGGTTCAGCAAAGGCACTTTCTCTACATGTCAGTATGAGGGGTGTGGTCCTTCTTCCACAAAATCAAGGTGATCCTGATTTGAATGTCCATCTTCCACATGTAGATTTTTACATTTTTATCCTACCAACAGAAAAATAAGGCCCTGTTAGCCTGCCTGCTAAATGATTATACTTATGCAGCGTATTCATCTGGCTTTCAGTTGGGCACAGGAAATTCAGTCGGAGTCTAACTGTGCCTCTTGTTTGTGCCACATGTCTGGTCTTATCTCCTCCTACCTGCTTTCTGTGCTTAATGGTCATGCCACCAGAACGTCTGCACTGTGAAGGAAAAGTTCATCCTTGATCAGGTGAACAGGGCAGAACGCCTGCCCCGTTGACTGTGTGACACTGACTGCCAGTTTCACCTCAGTTAAGTCCCAACTCGTCAGAGGTTTCTGACTTTAAGGGCCAGTTGTTGCCGTTTGGAAAGCGAAGAACTGTCTAAGGTCAGAAGAAAATGTGAATTGTCTTTTACAGTTGTTAGATATTGAAGACCAAGTATTTTCTATTCTTGATAGGATGAGACTTCTTAGTTGCATGTTTGAAAAAGCTGTCAAAATTGTACAGATGCCTTTATACAATAGACTATTGGTCTCTGTACAAATCCATTGAATGCTCCACACTAACTAGAGTTCTTTTAAGTGGCCCTGTCAGTGTCCTGCTTTTCCTTCACTAAGAAGAATGTCCTGATGACATGAAGGTATAATTTTAAGTATAGATATCTTGTTAGTTGGTCAGGTAGTTACTGTTATGTTGAAAATAGCTAATATTAAGTTCAACTTTGCTGGTTGTTGCAGAAAAGTTCTGATATTTTATGTCTTGCCAAGAGAATCTTCCTAATGTCCTAATGTACGCATCTGTCCTTACAGGTTTTGAAGAGGACATTAAAATGTGTTTATAGCTCATTGAACACTTGTTTTGATGTGCCAAATCACACCTGCTCTGCCTCTTTTCCTCCGTAAATGACTTTATGTAGATCTCGCTTATTCCCCGTTTACTTGTGAAACCACTACAGCAGCATGTCCAGACGCGTCCTTCCTCGGTTGTGCCTCCGAAGCTCCTACGGTTAATTCACATCACCACTTTTCGTTTTTTTGCGCACTCTCTGAAACCTGAGCGTCAGCCTATAACAACTCCAGCAGCTCACGTCCAAAGGCGTGTTTAAAGAAAAGAAGAGACGCTTCAGATTTGATTGATGTGCGCTTTAACCATCTAGTGGCTAATCCCGATGAATGACAAAACTGTCAGGCCAATTGCTGTAAAGGCAATTTCTATTCCCATAGTATCTTTATTTTGGGAAACCATAAAACGCTCCTGACACGGAGAGGGGACGACATAGCGCGTAAAGATAATAAAAATCATCTGTGGTGATAATCTACACTCAGATTGGCCTCCATCAGGACCTGGGAGAATCGTAGTCTCTCTCTCTCTCTCTCTCTCTCTCTCTCTCTCTCTCCCTCCCCCCCTCACACATACATACACGCGCGCTTGCTTCCACCTCACAGCCAACATTTTTAGGATGTGATGTCGTGACCGGAGCGAAGCAAATGTCACACGACTCACTGGCTGCTGTCAGTCTCCTCCACAAAAACGTCAGCGTTTTGATGGCGTTTGGCTGAAGCTGGCTCTGCTTTGGCCGCATGCTGCTGTGGAAGGTGGTCTGTAGAGAGCTGGGGCTTCGTCGGGCTCGCTCCAGCACCTGGACAGCTCCTTTCGCAGGGTTCCCCGCTGCGCTCGCCGGGGAAACCCTCGGCTGAGGAGCGGTATCTGGATCTGGATCAGCGCACGCAACCCTCAACGATCCCAGCCAGGAGGACACTGCGCTGAAAATGGTTATTTGATCTCTTAATTGTTGACATTTAAAAGCTAATAAGATCTTGCAGAGCGATGATGCTTCTTGCATTTGAGCTGTTTGGTTTTGCACTGAAACCGGAGCAGCGGCAGCGCTAGTGCTCGTCCAATGCCAACCTGCTAAGGATAGCTGCAGCCTACACACGCTGCAAGCCTGCTTCACTTACTCTGATCACCACCGAGGGAGACATTACCATCAGCAAGGGGCCAGCGGAAGGCACAGTTACCCGCCAACAATGTAAATCTCATAGAGGTAGGTCCCGTGCTTCGGATAAATAATTCATTTATGCACAGCAAGGAGCTCTCAGCAGTTACAAAACTTTTATTTAGTTTCTCCTGGTACCAGCAAGGAAATCAGATTGAACAGCGTTAATGCTCTGATGGAAGCAGCAGGGAAGGGCTGACATGTACCTAACTCTGTTTGTAGAGTGCTGTTTCAGGATCTGGCTAAAAATTCTCATTTAAGAAAAGTTATGTTTGGAGCTACAACAACATTTTGGTGCGTATAACCTGTAGTTTAGTGGCCTTCAGTGAAATGCCTTGATAACTTTGTGACGTTTTCATTGGGATTCGTCTTTTCAGAAACATCTAACATACAGCTGTGAAGCTTAAGTGGCTTTAAGTTTGATACTTGTCATTGTTACTTTGAAAAATCTTTAAGTCTGCTGGCTGTCACCTTTATTGCAAAGTGTGTGGGATGACAGCAGTTTTAACACCCACTTTTCATGAATGGATAAAAGAAATAAAGCTCCCAACAGGTGCAGGGTGTAGTTGTGAAGGAGCCTCACTTGGCTAAACAGGTTTCTTCTAAATGATGACACTGCTTTGTTTTATATTGAAATGCTGCAGACACAGTGCCTGAAACTGCTCTGCTTTCACTGATATAAATCAGATGGGCACAATATAAGAAACATCTCTCAGTATTACATGATAAACTTCAATAGCACCTGTAACTACAGCCACAATTTGAAACATTCACAAAGCTAGGATTTAATGCCAGGCTGATGTATTGGACTGTATCAGTTGTAATTAGGTGTACCTAATAATTTGGCAAATGAGCATACATGTGCCTCTATGTAACATCCGCTACTTGCAAGTCCTCTGCTGGTGTTAATGACCATGTTTCTTGCAGGTTCAACATGAAAGGAGCCTCAATCAGGTGAAAGTGCAGCAGTAACAGGCAGAGCTGAGTGGAAACTTCGTGATCAGCACCACATCTCTCTCCTCTCCATCACCCAGCATCATGGCTCATGCTGAGTAAGTACAATCCACACTCTGCACTCATCCTTCTTTCCCTTCTTCCTTGCTCTCGCTTCGCATTCCAAGTCATATGTTGAAGTACAGTATGTATATCCAAGGGAAATGTGCTGTCAAATGTCAGAGGTTGTCTAAATGGAAAGTCATGCCGGTGTCCACAGGGCAGAAGCCTTGTCCTTGTTTTTCCTTTTCCTTTTCTGCTCTTCTCTACTCAGTCACCTCTCTTTCACCTGTTCCCAGCTTTCTTTGTCTCCATTTCTACAATAATGAGCTTGATTCAGTCAGACAGTGCTAGAGTTGAGGTGTCTGACCCTCGCCACTCTGAATGCTAAACACAGACACACACTGAGATCCAGATTCATGCAAACACACCTGCACAGTCTTGACTACAGTGTGTCCATTCTGCAGGCATAAACAGGTCACTACATTGATCCTTTCTGTCAAACAACAGACACTATATTGTTATCATCCATGACCACTGCCTCCTAACACTTTTACTCAACAGACCCTCTCCGCCTACAGTTTTCTCCCAGCTTTCCATTTTTAATCTGCACTCTCTGCATGTACTGAGAGCAACTGATGCATTGCTGAGGAAACGTGCTGTAGCTTTTGTGTGTTTGTGGTTGTGTGCGTGTGAAGACAAAGAGGTAGGGGAAAACAGTCACTATTTTCTGTCAACTCATGATTATACTGGCATCGCACGACTCTCTAATTTGTTTCATCATAACTAGCTGCCTTTATTCTCTGACCTAGATGAATAGCCCTGAATCATTGCTCCATTTGTGCCTTTTATGAGAACCTGTTATGCTCTATCTCAGACAGATGCCCATGCATGCTCTTTCTAAGGTGAAATGCATCCTAAAACACATACAGCTCACATTTGCTTTGGACAGTTCACCTGAAAAATGCTTTACTCTTAAAGAATGATGATCATGTTATTAATATACAGTATATAATTATTATCAAATGAGAAACAAATTGGTTTTAATCGCTTTTTTATGCTCTTTTATTATTTTTAAATTAATACTGACACATAAGTGTGAAAGTAGCATTTTACTGTTGCAGCTCATTGAGGTGGAGCTGTTCAGTGGTTTCCAACCTGTGGGGTCACAAGCCATCCCAAGATAAAGTTCTGGTACAAACATTTCTTCTGGTTATTATGCTTCTGTTCCTTTTTGTGAAGCATTGGACCTGCCTGGGCTTCAAACAGGGCCACATCCAAAAAGGAGTTGGAGCCAGTCCTGTGTTTCAGAAAAGCTATTTAACATGATCATATTTTTTTCATGTAAAATCTAAAACTGAAAAAATGGCTGTCTCCTGATGATAACTGAGCTTTGTAACTTGACTCAAGCTCTAGAAAAAAAAGGTGCTTGTTTCACAAGTCTACTGTGAAGTGTCCAACTTCATGGGAATACTATAGACATAATTATTATTATTTTTTTTTTTAGTGTTTACTTTCCCTTTTAGATCCCAAAGGGCCCTTGGTACTGGACAGGACTGTTCATCTTTTACCCTGTTGTTCAGTCAACACCAGTGGGAGGGTGGACGACTTTGCCTCTTTTGTTCCAACAGTAGGAGTTGACAAGCACATGGTGTCTTTCTGCCCACGGGGACAAATGCTGTCTATGAGTGGCTTGATATTCGGTCTAATTGGCTCTTATCATAAGCACGCTGGCAAAATATGCACAGTTTATTAGTTATGACAGTAGCAGATCTCCATGACATGCATCAGAGTGGTCCTGTTTTTAAATAGGGAATGATGGATTTTAAACTGTTGACCCTGGGCAGTTGTTTCCTAGCTGGACAGGAGGATTAAATGTGTCACATAGATAAGAACAGTTGCTCTGAATTCTGCATCATGCTTAAGATGCAACAGGAAACACCTCAAACACAGATGTGCAGGAGATACCGTCCTGCTCCATAGGCACAAATACAGTGCGGAAGAAAAAAGTCAAGTGGTGTTCACAGCTCTACAGAAATCTGTGTGTTCATTTACTAAGTCTTTGAAGACTTGTGTTCCCTCAAGTGTTTGTAGAAATTAAAATAATCTATTGTTGGAAGCTGGGACAGTGTAGAAAGGTCCATGGAGTTGTCTGTTACGAAGACGTGCTGTCTCGGTCCTGCCCCACCAGGGTCTCAGTGTCTTCTACAGCTTGTATCTGTAAAGGTCAGATAAGAGACTTCAGGAGGGCCAGAACGGTCCATTGTGCAGTTCACCTATTCATCCTAGTTTAATCTGTAATATTATTAATGAGCTAGTGTGCCTGGCAGACTTCATTAACATCCACTGGCATGAAATTATGAAGGTTTGTGTGGAAGTTAAATTGGGTGTTCTAATAAATTACCTGAGGCAATTTGTAAACCCTGTGGAAGTGGCAGGTGTGTAGTCATACAACATGAATATTATGTTAAAAATCAAGCTTTGGTTCCTAAGTTACTGTCTTGAAAAGGCAGGGTGGGGACTTGAGCAGGACCAAAATGCAGGCCGTAAGAAAGGTGAGATGAAATCTTTTCTGCTGGTGTCATTGTTTTAGCATGGTGTAATCTGGATGCTGATAAATTCTCCAAGGTAAAGGCTGACCGTCTTTGTTTTTCCTCCTCTTCATCTTTTAATGTGAAATCCATATTATGTTGTATGCAAGTCAGCAGCAGTGGCAAACATTACTCGCTGTCTTTGCTTGTTTAACGGAAAGAAAAAGACACTCCAAACACAGGACTCGGTGAGGTGTAACATATCCTTATGTTGTTGTCACAAGACATTTATTACATTTAGTCATCAAACTGGTTCCGGCGTTGTGTAGGGGTGAAAATATTGATAAGCTTGAGTATCATGATATTACGGTTTGCGATACTATAATGATTCTCAAAAACACGGTATCCATTTTTAATTAATGTTTCACAAGTAAATCTATGTTGTTACCTGCACTGTGACAAATGCAAATGCTGTTCTGATCATATAGAAAAATTTACTTTTCATAGAAGATTTTAGGAGTGGTGTGCTGCTTATTTTATGACAGTTTTTCTAATATGAGATAAAAAAAAAAAAATCACAATATCACCTTGTTTACAGTATTACAATAAATGGAATTGTAACTCCTGCATTGATATGTATTATTATTTTTATCTCAATTTAATTTTTCATTAAAGTTACAAAAATGTCTGTGTCAATTACAGTTCTTAGAAGGAAAGATCATTGGTCCCTGTATCATGATATGTATCGTATCACTGGATTCTTGCCGGAACACGTCCCTAGCGTTGTGTAGGAGCTGCAGAATAGTTTTCAGTTAGTTGTTCCACCAGCAGTGTGTGTCTGTAACACTAACACACAGTGATGTCCAGGTTCTCCAAACAGCAGCTGGTGGGAGCACAGAGCATCTGCCTTGTGGTCAGCGTTTGGGTGTGTTTTAACACACAACCTCATCTAACATGTGCCTGTTGATCTTGTAGTGAGGCCTTGGACAGAGTGGAGTGTGATCAGGATGATGCCTGGGTGGAAAAGCATTTTCTTTACTCCCCCAGAAAGTCTATTTTCAAATGTGCCACTGGACTTGTCAAAAGAAAGTGATAGGCAGCACAACACCTGTGTTGGATGTAATGTTTGGAAATAATGGCTTATAGCTTTTATGCTTCATTTTTGTGAAAGATGCCTGTGTTTACACTATGCATACATCAACAGATTATTTTTATTTCATTTTTCCACACATTTCCATTTTATAGCACAATTTTTAAGTGTATTAGAGTGCCTGATATACACATACAGCATCCAGTACCTAATATATCCAGACACTGTAACACTGCTAAAGTGAATTTTATTCATTGTGACAAGTCGAAGTTTCACTCACGTTTCCAGCCCAGGTGTTTTCATTGTGTTTTGGTTAGCGGTGCTGCTAACATAGCCTAGTCTGCCTTAGCACCAATTCTACCACCAGTGTGTCGGCACTGTTTGACGTTCAGTACTAATGAAAATGCATGGTATGTCATTATGGTGCATTAATTGTCACCGTCCAGTGGGGTGCAGTGAGGGTGAAAATAGCATAGAAGGTCACACACAGCTTCAGTTTGAAGTTAGAAGTTCATGCACCGTTCTAAGGTCTGAAGAGACTCGTGAAATTCTTTAGGAGAGAAGCTGGTCAGCTGAGCTATGGGCAAAACCTTTTATAGTGCTGCATATTGTCTTTTACTGCATGTGATGATTCATACTCAAAGTAGAACTGAAGTTACTTTTAGTTAAATTAGTTAAAACATTCCTAAATGTATCTGCAGTGTTTTGCATTTTGTGACTTTTGAATAAAATACAAATTTTCCAGTCATATATTTTGTCACTGAAGATTTCTTTAAAAAAAAAGGGTTAAAATCTTGCCTTGTTGTGATGAACCCAATATGCTTTATCATCTCATCTCTTGAGCTAAGTGAATGGAATAAAGTCCATTTACCAAGTCTATGTATTTGCATAAAAACATTTGCTAATTAGCTAATGAAGCCAGGGTTGTCTGAGGAAGAACCATCTTCAGTACCACTGGCCTCCAGTTACTTGTGTGACCTTCTGCTTTGGTCAGTGAAATCCCTTGAGCGATGTTTGGCACATACAGTAATGACCTTTCCTACATCTTTCATTATTATTTTAATGAACTAGAACTATTATACAGAGTGAATAGCAGTGTTTTAGTGGGAGGAGCTGAAATTCATCCATTTCATGATATTCACCTTTTACTTATTGTGTGTTTTGGATTTGATTTTATTCTTCTATTCGAGGCAGTGGTGCACAGTACACCCAACCCATTTTCATGTTTCCTTGCAACATGAATGTGATTTAGACAAAAATAAAATGGATATATTCACTCACCGGCCACTTTATTAGGCACACCATGCTAGTACTAGGTTGGTGTAAAGGGATTTACACAACTTTAAACTTTGCAGCTGGTAAATGTGTCACTTTAGCAGCATGAACCAGTTGTGAATTGTTCTTGCCATTTTCATTTCAGACATAGTTAATCTTGCTGAACTTTGACCTGCGAAATTGACAGAGAGAGGTTTCTCCTGTCTGAATGCACCTTAATGGTGCCGTCCAAATGGCTCACTAATTTTTAAGAGATTTATTTGCGGGGCTGTTTGGAGCCTTTGAATGTGAAATATTTTAGCACACTGACCATACACCCATTTACAGATGTAATGAAACTCTCTAGGTCACTGCTGATTGTGTCAAAGGACTTTCAGCACTGACTTTACCATTGTATATTTTAATATACTGTGGTTGTCATGGCGTGGGGGCCTGTCATGTGTCTTCACCTGTCTCCCAGGTTGTGCGTCTCTCTCTTTTGAATGCTTTAGGTCACTCGGTGCCGTCTGTCACGGCAGTTTTGAAGATGACTAAAGGAGATAAAAATGCATCTGTATACATCAAATGGCTGCAGGGAATATGCTTTTATTCTTTCTCCACACAGTCTTTACTACAATTGCTCTGGCGTTTGTGCCTGTTTAGCGTGTCACCCATGAAGCCAGATAACGACAGCTGCACACAGAGGTTTATGAAATTTGTATGCAGTATCATTTGGCTTTGTTGTTGTATCTGTTTTACAGTTAGTGAACAAACTTACAAATCTTCAGAGTTCTCCTCCAGCATGCTCTTTTTCTGTCCTTCTGTTTCTCTTTTGGTAAAAGAGCAACCGGAGGCACAGTCTCTTTTCTTTTGTCACCGTGTTTCCTCTTTCTCACTGTCTTATCAGCGCTACACTTGGCTTTTTCACTGGTCAGCCTTCTTTCTTTCTCTCTCTTTCCTTACCCTTTTCTTTCCTGTCCCCCTCCTGACCATTTGCACTCCTCTCTTCCCTACTGTCACCTCCTTCTGGTTTCAGCCTAGTATCTGTGCTCCATCTTCTTTTATTGTTCATAGCTCCTTTTTGCTCTACCGTCCTCTCTTATCCTTCTTGTATAATGTATGATATCCATCCCTCTTTTCTCCCACTCCACTTCTAGTGCCCCCACACACATTTATCATGACTTCCTTTGATGGGGATCCACTCAGCTGACAAAGGGAGAGGCGATGACGTCACAACAGACATGATACACCAGCATCTGCTCTGGTCTAAAAATACACTCCACAGGGCACACGCAGCCAGTCTGTAGCTGCGCTCAGCATTTGTTCCCACCTCTACATGCTACTGAGATGGCCCAGCTTTTACACAACTGGGGCTTGTGGGCATGCTGGGTTACATGCTGCTGGCCCACTGATGAGTTTAGATATTACAATATAAAGAGTCTAGGTGGGTGAGGGGGTTGGGGGGAGGCTCACTGATATGAGCACTGAGGAAGGTGGAAGCATGTTTATTATGTAAACCTGTTAAATTCCATTCATTAAAACCTAATTAGTGGAAAATGGTGATAATACTGTGGCACCTACAAAACTTGATAGTAAGAGAAACCAAGAATCAGTTATTCCATTAACCATTAGATGCATAGGTGGCTCATTCCAGGTGTTGCTTAAACATCTGGTTTTTGATTACCCCTACTGACATAGCTTATTTACCTTTTTTTGCTTTGTTTAGTTATATCAGTTTTTCATAAGTGGGTCAAAAATGGCTTGTACCCATTTTTTTTTTTAGTAAAAATGATAGTTTTTCCTTTTTAGTTTTGTCAGACATATAAAACATTTACTGTGGACCTCAAATGGGGGCCACTGTAACACAGTGATGGCTACAAGTGAGAAAAGTTGAGGCTACTAGCTTGTTAGTGCCTTTGTCCGGTTACATGACTCAGTCCTTTGCATGTCACAGAGGTCCTAGAAGAGTCTCCTGTTGTAGACAAGCTGTAGCCCCAAGCAACATAATTTGGGGATGGGCTTATATATCGCCCTGTGAACCACACTGTGTCAGACCCGCTTGCTTGTGTGGGACTGAAATTAATATTTTGAGCAGTATTCTGGCAATATTGCAACTTTATTATTAACAAAATCGGGCAGTAACAGCAGCCTTCAGTGACCAAAGGGGAACTTTAAGTTTTAGATCACTTCAGTAATCATTACAGCATCATCTCCAGTGTAAACAGGAATATTTCTACTACGCATATCAGATAGTATCTGCAGCCTTCAGTGCACATTTTTCTTTTGTCTCTCTGTTTGGGTGGTGTTCTCTTCCATTAAACCTGTTTATTATTGGATGACAGTGACTCAAGTTTCCAGACCGCTTGAGAAAATCTGGGCAGTCTCAGTGTCACACACTCTACCTCCAATAATAGCTGCTTTTGAGTAAGGCACTGTACCTGCAGCTGGTCAGGTCCTCAGCGGTGTAGGACTGTGGGAGTGCTCAGTAATTTCCTGTCTGACCCTGTGTTTGCTCCTTGAGGCAATCACTGTAAATAAGAATGTGTTTTTAGTGAAGTTAAAGGGCTCAATAATTAGTGTTTTGAGCTCATACATACACTTTTCTTCAACACTCTTCCTCTGCTGTGCTGTATTTCCAATATCTGCTACTTTTATAATAATTATTTAAGCTATTTAAAATACCTTTTGTACTTTAAAACATTTATTTGAGGGACTGCATGATGAGCAGTAAGAGTTGTGGTTATTCCTGGTATCATAACGTGTGCCTTTCTTTTTCTTCTGTGTTCTTGTGTGTGCGTCTTTGTCTGTTGCTGGTGTTGGCATGTAACTAGGGAGGTGGAGCAGGCAGGCCTGTCGGACTTGGAGATCATCTCCCAGCCGGTGGAGGATGAGAACCAGTGCTTGGCTCCTTCAGTCCAGCTGGTGAGTTTTGGCTACAGAGATCTGCCCCTGGCGGCTCTGGACATCTCGCTGGCAGGCTCGCAGCTCCTTTCCAATGCAGATGAAGACGAAAACAGGGAAGGGTGAGTGAAACCAGAGCTGGACTGTGTTATTATTAAAGTTTGATGTCATTAATATAGTATTGTCTACAGTTTGAAGTCACTTAACATTTACAAATTGCCACTGTTCTTGACTATGTGTTTTTCATGATTGTTATGTGACCAGGAATTAGTCAGTGTTCACTTTTTGTTTTTATGATTCCTACTTTTACTGTTCCTCTGACTTGTTTGGATGAATGACGAGGAACATTTTGTTCCGCTGCGACTTGCACAAACTGGGCTCGAGGCTTAATCAATTAACGCCTATAAACTTCAAATTCCATGTTTTTATACACAGATCAGTCATAACATCATGACCACCTGTTTAGTACTGTGTACACAGGAGTCAGCGCGGCAGATGGTTGGCACTTCTGTGAATCCGTTTGCTTCTATAGGTATAGTGTCAGGTAGAGCACACGTGTTGACCATTCAGTGAAAAGCTTGTGTAAAAGGAGTGAAAACTGTGGTGGTGAGGACAAGTTGGAGATCATTTTTTTAGACAAATTCAACAGCCTCCACACTCTGGGTGTGATACAGCCGCTGAATGTTTCTCTTCATAGGGACCAGTATTCCTAATTTTAAATCATTTGAACAAATATTCAATCTAAATGGAAAATACAAATGAAATTTAAAAGTTTAATCTACAGTAGCTCAACCTCATCGGTGAGCTTTGGGCGTCCATGACCCTGTCGCCGACTCACTGCTTGTCCTTCCTCAGACCATTGTTGGTTGGTACTAACCACTGCAGACTGGGAACGAGACCTGCAGTCTGGGAGACGCTGTGACCCAGTCGTCAGCTATCACAGTTTGGCCCTGGTCAAAGTCACTCAGATCCTCACCTGTTTTTCTTGCTTCCAGCACATCAACTACCTGATACACCCCACACGCTGACGGGTACCAGTGTAACGAGATAACGTTATTCATGTCATCTGTCAATGGTCATAATGTTATGGCTGATGGGTGTAAGGCACCATGATGTAAAATGGTAAAAATGAATTATACAGACAAAAAACAACAACAACAACAATTACACAGGTTTGGAGATGAGTGCACAGTAACGTCATTTGCTGATTGCGACTTGTTTTTTCCACTTCAATGTGAATGTGTGCAGTGCTGGTGTGACATATGGATATGAGGTCACATCACAGCTGTCCTTTTGATTAGTCACAATATTAACAGCTTTTTTCATAGCTGTGCCTGCTGTCTTTCCATTCTGTCCACTCAAACCTGGCTCCTACCACTAGCTCTCACTGGGATGCACATAAACACCATAAGCTGTAGTACATGGTTCAGCGCACACACAAACCATATCTATACACAGTTCCTCATCCAAGTCGTGTTTCTGACACCAAATCAGGCCTCAGTCCATTGGTTCCTTTCAGTTAGCCAGGCATGGCCAGAAACAGATGGATGTCACAGACGCGCCATCCACAGCGGGCGGCGCCAACATTCATACTATGCTTGTATCACAGCCCTCGTGTGTCCTGTTGGATGTCAGGGTCACTGAGAGCCTGTATTTCGATCCCTGTGCATAATGGATAGGGGTTTACTGTGATTGTGATTTGATGCCATGCGTTCACTGTCCTGGGTTGGCATTGTTGAGAAACACCTTGGTGTACAGTGATGAATTATGCAGGCAGCGTTTCCTGTTGTAGCTCAGCCCGTGAAATACCTGTATGAGTTATCCGATAACTGGGTCACAGGCCTGCTGGTATTGAGTAATCTCAAAACAGACACTGCTGTTATGGTCAAATGAGCTTGGGTAAGAACTCCTGCTGTATGAAACAGATTTACCGCTCACTGTGGTGAAGGTTATTTTACCTGTGAGCTCAATTTACCCAAACTGCGCTTAGTGCGATGGGGTCACTATTTCATATTCAGGTCATTAGTGTGAAATGTCTGCCTGTACAAATGCTGCCAGTGGGGCTTATAAAAGTCATCGTACTTCCTTTTAACTTTAATGAAATTTCATTTAACTGAACCGGGCATGAGCCACAGTAATATGTATGTTACGCCTCCACTATACCTTAAATGCAGTACTAATCCTTCACACTAACTATTACCAGGTCTTGTGTCTGGCCTTGTACTGGGGAGTTTCATTAGGAGGTTCCTATAGGTCTTGGTTTGAGATAACAGAAGTAAAATATCATGAGAGAATCTGCAAGACAGTCGAGTAGTGAAAGAGAAAAGCTGAGAACATGAAGCAAAGAGGCCTCTGACATTAGAAACAGAGATGTAGCGAGAGTGCGTCTCACTGAATGTGTCAGTCAGCCTGCTGCCCTCCAGGACCCCACTCTGTTTTATCCTGTGGATTCCAGCACTGGTGGGCTTTCAGTGATTACGCCTGTGCCTCCATCTCCTCATTACCGCATCAATCACCCTCTCGCCGTTAGTCTCCTTAAGTGACACTCACTAAAGCCACACCCCGTGCACCAGTTGTACGACGGGCTCCTGCGGCATAAGGAGGGTTTCTAAAATCGGTGCGTTCACATCAGCTACCTGTGAGTTGACTTTGCTGGGTCATAACAGTATGTAAGCACTGTCATGGCAATATGTGCTTTTGCTTTCAGAATGCTGAAAGGAAAAGGTGGGGTGCATCTAGGAGAGAGACCGATTGCTAAATTCATCCTTAGGGAAATGGGGCAGAGGAAATGAACCTTTTTTTATGGGCGGGTGGCATGATGAAGTGGAGTTGAGAGGAGGCAAGACAGCAGCAGTGGGATGGCAATCCACAGCCATCAAAATGGAAATGCATGTGGGAGAGGAATCTGTTGGCTGCTCCAGTGACTCCACCTGGGAAAGTGGATTGCTCCACCACCACCACCACAACCCCTCAACACACCCCTCCACCCCCACCCTGCATTAGCTGGCTCATTGGCTTTCTGGGATAATAAAGGAGCATCATGAAGAAAGCTGTGCATGGGAAATGTTTAGGCGTCCTCTGTTGTGATGTTTGGCAGAACAGGCGCATGCTCTCCTGAAACAGAATGTCACAACCACGGTAGAGGTGTTTCATCAACATGGTGACGGTTCACTGGGTGAAGGGAGGAAGTTATTTTCACTGGTAGTTTGGAAATGGCTCACTGTCAGCAAAACTTTTCTCACCTACTCCTTCCAGAAAGAAAGTGGGTGTAAGCTAAAAATAAGCAACAAAACTGTTTTGTTGTTGTTGATGTAACATCAAATTTTGTATCATAGTTCTTGAAGTAATCGGTTTAAAGAGTACCTGGCAGAAAATGTTCAAATGCACATCTTGGAAGCAGGAGACAACTTGCAGGCTGTTGTTTTCCTCAAAGGTTCACAGATTAGATGCATAATGAGCAGAGCTTTATGCTGTCATGGTTTACCTATGCTGTAAAGCTGCAGTATGTTTCATAGCGGGAAGCAAGCAGAGGGGATTAATCAAGGGAACGGGCTCCTGTGTCAACCTGCCACTGTGTGATCAAGCACCTATTGTCAGTCATGTTTGTATATCATTGACTGTGAAGGTGGAGCTGACCTTAGTGCTGTCTCTTGTATAGCGTGCTGCCCTCACTTCACATGACAGCACAGTAGTCCCCCCCACACACGCACATAAACAGAGACACAGCACACAGAGTATGTATACACTGAGAAGAAACAAGGCCAGACCTGCGCTGGTTCATATTCTGGTTTATACTGGGTATATAATGAGTTTATACCTCATTAGAAATAACATCACTCCTTCACTGATGTCCATTCCTGTCAGATAACGCACCACTTCTCCCAGAAAATTGTTGCAATCACAAATTCTTTGGGTTTTTCATGCTTGTTTCTTTTGTTTGCATTGGAACGACAAAAAAGCTGAGAAAAAAAGCCAAATCTGGACCACTCCACACAGAACTCCAAAAACAAACTGGACAGAATTAGTTCTGGACCTCTCTTCTTTTGCCAGCTGCTCCAGGTCTCTCAGATTTGAAGGCCTCCTTCTCCCAGGTGCCATTCTGAGATCTCTCCACAGGTGCTCTATGGGATTTAGACCTGGACTCATTGCTGGCAGCCTCAGAACTCTCCAGCTCATTGTCTGAAGTCGTTTCTGGTGCTGTGTGAAGTCTGCTTTGGGTCATTGTCCTGCTGTAAGACCATGACCTCAGATGGAGACACAACTTTCTGACACTGGGACCTACACTGTGGCCCAGAATTTGTTGGTAGTCTTCAGATTTCATAAAGCCATACACACAGTCAAGACATGCAGTGCCTAAAGCAGCAAAGCAACACCGTAACATCAGTGAACCTCCACTGTTTGACTGTAGGAACCATGTTCTTTTCTTTGAAGGGCTCATTTGTTTTCTTAAAACAGTAGAGTGATGTGCTTGACCAAAAAGCTCTATTTTAGTCTCATCTGTCCATGGGACATTCTCCCAAAAGAGTTATGGCTTCCTCAGGTCAGTGTTGGCAAACTCCAGTCTGGCTTTTTCATGTCTGTTTCAGCAGTGGGGCCCCCTGGGTCTCCTCCTACCATAGCGTCCCTTGTTATTCAGATGGCGACAGATAGTGCAGGCTGACACTGTTGCTTATCCACCATTTGAATAATCCTTCATTGCAACCTGTCATCTATTTTTCTCTTTTGTCCACGTCCAGGGAGATTAGCTACAGCGCCATGGGCTGTAAACATCTTGACAATGTTGCGCACAGTGGACTCAGGAACAGCCAGATCTCTGGAGATGGAGCCTTGAGACTGTCCAGGCTTTTCCACTATTGTGGTTCTCAAATCCTCAGCCAATTATTTGCTCTTCTTTCTTTTCGCCATACTCGGTGTGGTCCACACGACACAAAGGCTGAGTCAACTTTTCTCCATTTTAACTGGTTGCAAGTGTGGTTTCTATGTTGCCAGCAACTGTTGGTTGCTACAGGGGACTTTCATTACAAAGTAAAGGGGCATCACAGGGTCGAAACACAACTATTTCTGATTATTTTGAAAAGGTGTCAATAATTCTGTCCAGTCCATTTTTGGAATTCTGTGTGGGATGGATCAGATTTGGCTTTTTTCTGTTTTTTGTGTTGTTCCAAACAAAAAATAAACATGACAATACCAAAGAATTTGTGATTGCAGCAATTTTCTGGGAGAAGTGGTGCCTTATCTGACAGAAATGCAGGGATGCCAACATTTTTGGCATGGATTTTATTTCTATAGCTTTTCTATGTTCTTGTTTCTCACTCTACATCAGTCCCTCAGTTTCTTACTCTTTTTTTCATGCACACTATCTCATCTTTATTTTAATTCTTTTCTGCCTCCGGTTTCACAAAAAGTGTGCCTTGCCATTCTGAATACCAATCGGCACTGTAACTAAACTCAATGCCAAGAAGCAGCTCCTGTTTTCTTATTGCTGTCCGTACACTAACCAGAACTACCAGAGGCTCATTCACAAGCCTTCAGGAGCCTCCAGGTTCATGCATCAGTGGTGAAGGTGAGGACGGGGACAGGTTGGAGTGTTCCTGCACCGCTTTACTGTATTGTTGCCTAACACAGTGTTCCTATCAGGAGAGAAGTGGGCGACATTGTGGGAAGTGGTTGTTCTAGCTAGCATCAGGGGGCATTTGCAGTGTTAGCAGTTTTGGCGCCATGGTAAGTGGAGTGCAGTTATTAATAGAGTTGGGCCCATCCATCTTCCTGTCTAGGAAAAATGCTGGGAGGACTAAGGTGGCGTGGGTTTGTGTTCAGCACTTTCATGGCCGCCCACTCTCCCTCTAGTCATCAAGCTGCTTTTGTTTGTTTGCTCACTGTTTTTTGTGGTTGAAGGGTTCTTTTGGTGCATTTCAGCTTGGATTTGTGCAAGCTGCTGCTGCTGGTGTGTGTCTTTGTTGGGGAAAACTAACACCGAATGTCAGAGAGGGAGAGTTGGAGGACTTGGCCTCACCTGCAGCGTGCACTGACGGGTTATACTGTCAGGTTAAATGGTGATAACTGGACCAATCACAAAAGCAATTCAAAATGTTTAAATGGAGTTCCATGCAATATAGAAGTATATAGAAGTATTTAAATTACTGCTTTTGATCAAAGATTAGTTCATTATTGTGTAAGTTGGGAATTTCATAACATAAGAAAGGAACTAGTTTTTCAGCAGAGTAACATACTGCCACAGTAGCATTGTGGGCAGTGGTGCATTGGTTAGCACTGTTACCTCACAGCAAGAAGGTTCCAGGTTTGAGCCATGGCCGCCTCGGGCCTTTCTGTGCAGAGTCTGCATGTTCTCCCTATGCCTGTGTAGGTTCTCTCTGGGTGCTCCGGCTTCCTCCCACAGTCCAAAAACATGCAGTTTAGGCTGACTGGTGATTTTAAATTGAGTGTGTGTGAGTGTGTATGGTTGTTTGTCTCGTATGACACATAAATTAGCTAATGAGATGCGAGTCCGAAAATTAGGACAATGTTATTGTTTAAACCCAAAAAGAATTTGGCAGAAAATCAACAATAAAATCACTGTGGGTAACAGTACACAAGCAGTTTATACATTATTTCACAAAGGCAGGAAAGGGATACTTAAAGTTTGGTTAAAACACAAGTTGTTTCTTCATTTAAAAAGGGAGTTCACATATTGAAATATTCTTTGGCTACTGCTGATTTGTTCCACCAGACCAGTTGGAAGTCGGTGCCTTGCTGAAGGCCACCTTGACAATAGTGGCTGAAGGTGGAGAGTTACTCATTCACCCTCTCCACCTGCATTTTCCATGAGACTCTGGGGATTCACACCAGCCAACCTCCAGTAATAACCTTCATTAACCTTTACAGCTTCGTAGCTACTCCCAGCAGCACACAGCATTCAGTAGAGCACCACGTATCCAAACTCCTATCCAGTTCATTTTATTAAAATGAATGGGATTTTCAATAGTCAGAATATATCTTAAAATGGTTCATCAGATATGTTTATTTTTGAGTCCAGTAATGCAAGTAAGACTGCAGGGCAGGTTCTGAACGCATCATCCAAAAAGTTCACTGCTTCAAACAACCTCCATTTCCAGAGGTTAAGCAAAACCACTATAGTCCATCAAAGTGCATCTTATACCGAATGATGTCAGGCTTCATCTAACTGCTGCAGCAAAACACAACATAAGAGGAATTTACCAGAACAATAAGATTTCTTGAGTGGGAGTTGTAAAAATGCTGTCTCAGGTGTACACTTTCATCAGGTTTTCATGGCTCCACGATTCATGTCATTGTGCAACCAGCAGTCATTTCCCTCCATACCCTCGTTGTCTCTATGGCTTTGCCCACCAACAAACTAATCAAACAAACTCAAATGTCTCACTGCAGTTTAAAAGCACTAGTGATTAGCCTAGCTTATTTCAATTAATGGATGTTTGTTATTAAATAACATCACTGAAATTCTTTTAAATACCTTTAAAATGCACTGGAGTTGAATAGTTAGGTCAAATATATTAATCAGCATATTGGTGTATTTATAAAGACAATTAATTTCCCTAATAATTAAGGAAACCTCCATTTCACTTGAGTCACATGATCTTTTACTTTGTATGATCAGAAAACTGTTAACACTGTAAGCTAAGATGTGCAGAGTATTAAAGCAATAGTGCAACTAGCGTAGGACAAAGACTGGAAAAGAGAGAGACAGCTAGCCTGGATTTGTTGAAAGGCTAAAAAATAATTTACCTATCAGCCACTTTAAAGGTCACTAATGATCACACTGCTGGGTCCGGTGACTTTCTGGTGTCTCTGCTGCCTGTGTGGTCACCTCACAGATACCAAGAGGATTACAGGGGGTTACTCCTCCTCCTATATGTTTATTATTTAGAGGTGCTCATAGGCAGATGATTTTTCATCTTTGGACAGAAACCGGCTCGATGTTTCCTGGTCTTTACAGTCTTGATGCTAAGCTAAGCTATTAGATATAGCTTTATATTTAACACAGACATGAGTGATGTTGATCTACTCATCTAAGTCTAGACAACAAAGTAAACAAGTGTATTTCCCCAGATGTCACTATTCCTTTACACTCTTGGTGAAGAAGGTGTTTCTCTTCTGCTGAGTGTCACTTGATTTTGTAAACATCCAGTAATTGAACTAAAAAAGAGTCTTACTAAATACAATCTCTACTCACAAAAGGAAAGTAGTATAGTCGTGTGCCCCCCCCCGAGCACTGCCGCACAACAGCGCCTGGTGTGTTCTTGGTGCACTGAAAGGCGACATCCTGGCCAAGATTACATCTCCCATCTGAGGATATTAAAATGAGGCCAACAAGGCAATAAACCTGTGAGTTACAATCGGCCCAGCATCAATAACGTGCACCCTCTTTATACAGACTACATGCACTGCACAAGCCAACGCATCAGCCACATGCGGTCACACACAGATGAATAGGGGATGCGAGTTAACAGGCAGTGTGGAGACACAAGACAGACGGGCTGAATTCAGAGAACGTGTATGCCATGACTTTTATGCCATGTTGAAACTAGCCCAGCTCAAAGGGGACGCAGTCAGACACTGCTGGTGACACATGCAGTATATTAATGAGTCTTATTAAAGCAACAGAACAGTAGCAAATGTTGTTTCTCCAAGCCGCTCGGCCCTGACAGCCTGACAGACCCACCTGGCCGGAGTCACTAGCAGACAAGGTCACCTCTCTGATCGCCTGTTTACAAGCGCACCTTCACAGATCCTCACACTGACATATTTCACAACCAAGTACAGATTTACCAAATAATAGTGCTAATGTTGTTGTAATTGTGAGACTTTTTTGTTCTCCCTCCACATTTTTGTCTTTATTGCTCCTGTTTTCTCACTTTCTCCATCCACCCCTCTTTTTCTACATCCTTTCTGCTGCCAGTGTGTATTGAGCAGGTTGATATAGCTGTCAGTGTTTCCGACCGCTGGTGAGATTGAGTGGAGCTGGACAGGGAAACAGAGGAGGGAGATTGAATCGGGGAAAGTAATCAATACCAGCATGTCGAGTGAGCCATCAACCACTGGGGCTCTGACTCGCAGCACCTGATGGTCTCATCAGATCTTACTCTGTTGGTGTATTAACAAGGTAAATGTTTAGAAACTGATGCACATTTTGAAAACATTCTAAAATGACATTTTTATAGTATGCCCACTATCTGTACAAGAACGTTCAGATTTTAAAGTACAACAAGGAAGGAGTAGTGGAAACTGCCACAGACTCTGGAAACGAGACTTCATGCAGAAAAGCCCCATCTGGCCTGTGGATCTGAATATAAAGCCAGTGTCCTTTATTAATTGTTTAAGCTCATCTGCATTAATTAAATTTGCATGCCAAAGCATTTGTACGGGCTGCACTACTTCTGCACACTCCGACAAATAAACTCAGATAAGTGTAGGTACCTTTATCTTCTTGACATCATGGTCCTCTGAAAACCATGGCTTACCTGTGGGCTTAGCAGCTAAAATGGACCGAATTTCTTCTTATTAGTATGTTAATTATAAACAGACAATGGGGGGAAAGGGAACCAGATGGATTGATCTCTTTGTGATATTGTAACAAATGAACTTCCTGACAAACTAACTTTCAGGAATCTTCTTCCTGCAGTAGCTATACGACAACGGCTGTTTTAATCTTTATTTTTAATCAAATCATGAGTTTTTCCTTGACTCAAGTCGTGTTACTGGCTAATCACCTGGGGTTCTTAGAAACTGGTGATAACTATTTCTGGGAAAGAGGTGTGATTGTGACTGTGGAGGTTTAGCAAAATCATCTCGACACTTGTGTATTGCTGTGCAAAAAATGTGTGGCTCCAGTGGATGAAACTTATTTACACCCATACTGGGAAACATAAAGAGACAAAAGCAAAGAGATGATAAAGGTACTGCTTCATTAAATTCAGCATTTACTGGTTTGGTTTAGTTTGTGGCTAAAAACATTGATTTGGTAATCTCAGTGTGACTTCATGTCTTTGTGTGAGCTTCATGTAGCTACTTGTAATAACTGCTTCATGAGACTTTGTATATTTAAGTGGTTTTTACTCTGGTTTGTGCCTGATATTTTTGGCATTCTACTGAAACCATTTCAAAGGTTAACTGTTTTTAGTTTAATATAGACCATAATGCCCAGCTGCCACATGCCATCTGTTGCATCACAGCAGAATCTTGGTTAGCATTAATATGTTTAAAGCTGAATTGATCAACTTTAGATAGTTTTGTTTTCTTGTTTGCACTAGTGCCGGCTCAGGGCCTGTTATCATCAGTGCTACAAGGCACATAGCTGCATAAAACCAGTGAATGTGCAGCCAAATGACGTGCTGTCAGAGCTAATCAGATTACAAGAAGAAATATTCTTTTCTCACAGGCGTGAGAAGACCTTCTTCTTACAGAACCACAGTCCGGTGATGATGGCAAACCCAGTCCCACCCGACAAATATGACAAAACAGACACCAGACAGGCAGCAGCATCCTCTCCTCCCCTAGAAACAACAGTTTCTACATTTCAACAACCAGTGCACACACTCCCAGACTCACACACGCAATGCTTCATGCTAAAACAAGCGTGGAAAAGAGGGAGTACCGACTAAGCATAAAATAGATGCTGAGTTTTTCTGATGCTGTCAGATTGCAGGTAATTAATTTTACATTTGAAAGGTTCCTCATTACCAATGCCTGTGCACCATCGATCACAACACATCAGCAGCGAAGAGGCAAGCCCCAGAACTCCTGCAGCACTTTCAGTGGAAACATAACCAAAAGAATGACTGACTGACTCTGGAGTCAGGACATAAACCTCTGAGGTCACTGGCTGACTAAAAGATAGAGCAGCTTTTGTGTGTTGAAGCTTTGGCTCAGGAATGGTGAATTACTGGTATTTACCTTCTTACATTGGCAGTATTATCAGACAAGCAAATTATTGCATGTTATGATTTTTAGGCAAAAAATGTGTTGAACACCTCAGCTTGTGGTGTTTTTTAGCTACTGAGAGCCGTAAATGAATGCAGATGTGGGTGGCTGGCAGATATTGTGAACCCTTCTGGATCATGCTGAAACAATTGAGATGTTGTGTGTATTTTTGGACAAACTGACCATTTAACTCCTGCCAAGCCTGCATAGTGTGAGGGCTGTATGTGTGTTTGGGATAAGAATGAGGTGCAGATATTATTGTTCTTTCTCGGCTGATTTAGGTGCTGAGTTTGAGGGCGGGATGGGCTGCAGGTATGTGTCTGTGACTATTATCATAGTATCAGTACTGCAGTTGTGTGGACAC